AAAGTGATTTGCAGGAACCTCTGTCCACTTGTAAATGTACAAGTGGGTCCAGAGTATAACTGGATCAAAGTGACCTGCGGACAGACATGTCCTGGTTTCTTTGTAGTGTCCTAGTTTTTTTGGGGTTTCCAGCTGATAAATTGGGTTTGCAGTGTGAAGCCTCAGACTCAGTGGACCCAAATATTGCTATGGACCCGAGTCCAGACTAGCTAGAGAGAGTAGATACTTCTCTGTTAATTCAAAAAATAATTGTAACTCAATTATTTGCTCATCCCCTCGGCCTGTGTTTATTTTCTATTTATCTCTTTTAACCCTGATTGTACCCTACACTGTAACTTTTACTGTCCTGTTTTACCCTGTTTTTTAAAATCCTGTTTTTATTTTCTATTTCACCGTTTTCAAAATTATATTTTGTTTCTTTTTCAATTTCCCTGTGTTTCTTTTATGTTTAATGTAAAGCACTTTGAATTGCCTTGTTGTTGAAATGTCCTATACTAATAAACTTGCCTTGCCTTAATATTATTACAGTAACAACGCGTTACTGCCCAACACTGATAACGGGATAATTTTCTCGAGATAACAAAACAGCAGTTTAGCACAAGGGTCGGCAAGTACATGTCTTAATGATAATTTCACTCTGGTTTTCACTGTTAGTGGTTAGCTCAGTTGATGGAGCACAGGACTCATGATTGTAGGGTTTGTGTGTTCAATCAAGACCTATTTTTATTTTTTATAATCCTATTTAACAAAGTTCTTATGAAGAGACGGTTTTAACTGCTCACAATAAAGCACGTGCTGGACCGTGCTCATCAACCTGTAGACTTTCCCCATCATTCCCAGGCAGAGGAAATGATTCTCATTCAGGGGAATCCATTTAACGTTACACATTTCCCTGACGGCTATTTCGGAACCTTTGAAATAGCCGTCGGGAAATGTATGATTGGATTCCCCTGAATCTCTTCATAACAACTTTGAAGAGGATGATAAAAAACACACAAAAAAACCCACAATCCTTGGTTTTCAAATCCTACGCTCTACCAGCTGAGCTAGCCATGACACTGAAAACTTGTTGGAAATTATCCTAAAGAAACGCACCTGCCGGCCAACCTAAAACAAAACCTAAAAAAAAATTTAATAGAGAAATACTTTTGATTTCAAACAAAATTTCCACGTGTTCCAAAATGTGTTGATGAATTACGATGAATATGGTGTAAAGTTGGGCCATGGAACAAGCAGCAACTGATTTCTTTTTCTGAAAAGTGTCTCATGAACTACTTAATTATTTGAAGGAATAAAAGCTGCCACATGTAGACAACAACAGATAATCATGGGACACATTTGGCACTGTGTATTTGATGCAGATTTGTATCCAGAGCAGATGAATAATTTATCAAAATTTTCGTTTTTTTTAATTAAGCAAATTTTAAGCCTTGGAGGAGGTATGTACTCCCTGAGAGATTCCTAGCTGTTCAATGTTTCACAGTATTCAGTTTAAGCTTTAGTCTCTTTTTGTCCCATAAGTGCAGAGGTTCCCCTTCCAGAGCAAAGAGAAATCCAAATCTGCTCAACTATGACTGAAGCAGTTTGTCCTCCCTGCCAGAGGGAGTTGGACAGTCTGGGTGGGAAACATTCATAATTCAGCCTTCACTGCCAGCCTTCAGTCTAGTTCCAAAAAGCAAAACATCAGCTTTAAAACCAGAAGTGAACTTTCTATATCCTGCAGTCTTCACACACATGAAGTTCAAATCTAATAATCTCCCTTCTGCAAGATCAGATCCTCATCGTGACTTCTGCCTGTGTTCCACATAAACCCACCAGACAATAAGAAAACAAACTCTACCTGCTATTTCCTCGGGTGTACCACCGCTGTTGGCAGTCAACAAGCTTTGCGTGTGGATGCCAAAAATCTTTCCAGGGACAAAATATATTCTGCAGGAGTGAAAAATGTGCCACTTGTGCCTTTGCTGGCATGAAAATCAAACTCACTCCCAATGTAGAATTACATATGCTAAGATCTTTTAACCTCTGTGTGAAAATCCAGCCTGTTTATGCAACATATTGAGCAGTGAACACCAGGTAATGTGGGAATAAGGCACTCACGCTTCAGCTGGAGTTCGGCTGATGACCTCCATGACATACGCCCCGGAGGTGACATCTGGGAAGTCTGAGTGCCTCTCCTTCAGCTCCTTAGCCAGCCTGAGGGGAGAAAAGATGAGGAAAACAGCCAAAACATGAGGTTTTGTACTAACATCAGTCTGATTTTAATTCAACTTGAAGGGATGATGCATTGTGACTCATTTTAAATTTCACCATGTTAAGTACTGCTCTGATTAATTGTGACACTCAAGCTTCAGGTTTTGAAAAGCTGCAAATTCGACAATGCAAACCAGATTTTTATGAAAAAATCTTGCTGCTGATTGGCCTGTGTAGTGAAGACATGCCTGCAATCTATAAAGTGATGGTATGCTTTGGAAAAATAGTTATTGTAACGTATAGTGAATCATTAGGCTAAAACCCACTGGTATGTTTAAAACTGTCATAAAGTAAAGCTTGTTTTGGTGTTTAGGGGCGTTTTCTATGGTAAACCCACGCTGGAGGGGCAGCTTGGGTGTTACTCTGACTTGTAGGCTGTTAACACGGCCTGTTGACTTACATTCCTATTTAAACTCGTCATTTGACTGCAGGTCACATTTTCGATACGATCTCCACCCTTGTTATGTATGAAAGTCAGGATTGTGAAACACTCTCTTCAGGTGAGATTAATCAGCCTCCCTCGTCTCAATGTTCTCAGATTATAGTGGCATTTGTTTTACGCAGCAAGACAGTCTGATCTCACAGAAATACAAAAATGTCATTTTATTATGACCACATGTATGGAAAACATGAGGACTGTATGGATATAATCAGTGTTTCATTCCAATAAAGTAACTGAAAACATGACCAATCAAAATATCTTACCCTGAACAAAATCACTAACCTTAACCACAAAAACCGAGCCAAAACAGATATTGCAGGCAGTTTCATTATTTTTATAATGAAAATACAAAATGGTAGTATTTTTACAAAAAATAACGTTCAGCATAACGTTCAGCATAAAGACGTCATCAGGAACAGTAACTTACGTTGAAGTGAGACTCATCATTCTAACGCCGATGTATTTCTTCTTCTGGAATGTTTTACCTGGAGAACATAAGGAAATGTGTTATTGTATAGTTGCCTTACAGTATTTTATAAATAAAACTGTGACATAAGTCTACGTAAAGTACAGAAAAAAATCTTCCATAAAGGCAGCTATGCCTTCTGGATAAATGAGTGACTTAAAATAAACATTAATTTCTCTGACATGGAAGCCAATCATAAACTCATCTCCTGTATAATAAAATACTGTGGACAGACTCTGCCTGCTGTGAACATCTGATACTGAAAACTTTTCTGTGCTCACAAGGTGGCCCAGGAGGAGGAAATTCAATTTAATACTCATGTCTCAAATTTACAATTTAACTAGCTCATTTTACTTCGCACACTTCCCTTACTGTTAACTTTGAGATAGGTTATATTATTGTTTTTTATTTCCATGTCAGGTCAAATATGTGGCGCATCCCATGTGGAATTAAAAGACTCATCAGAAATATAACAAGACATCTTCTGATAATGTTTATGTGCAAAACTTTGAACAAGCTGTACACCAAATAGTAAAAGAGGAAAGAACAAAATGCCACAAGCCCTGAGGTGTATCCTTAAAAAGGGATTTTCCTCATCTCACATGCTCACTTGCATGTAACTGGCTAACTTAAATTATTATTATTATTTAGGGGTTGTACCAGAACAGGTTTAAATGGTTATATTTTGAAAAAAACATCATATTTTTTGTCATCCTGCACATTGCTGCAGCTCCTCTTTTCACCCTGTGTTGAAGGCTTTGTTTTAGCTATGGAGTGATACATCTTGTCTCTAAATGATCTTTGTTGGGAGTTGCACATCAGCAGTTCCTAGTTAAGGACTACTAGCCAATCAGAAGCAGAGAAGGGCGAGCCCTTAGAAGCCGGTCAACATGGCTTTGGTTCAGCTGTATATCCCCTTACCAGCTTAGCAACATGGACTGGAGCAAGAGTTTCAGAGTGGTGAGTTATTAATCTGTAACAAAAGTATCTTGTTACTGTGTGCCGCTGCTCAGTGTGTTTTTGAGGGCGTGTCGAAGTAGCTGTTAGGCGCGCAAATTTTGCTGTGATGTCACAAGGATGAAAAGGTAAAGGCTGGACTAAAACAAGCTGTTTTCAGGCAGTTCAAAGAAGAGTTTTCTGTGGGAGATGGGAACTCCCTTTGGGCTGGACTTTGGGCTTTTTCACTTTGCAAATGTCTTACATGCACAAAAAAGGTTTAACTGTTTTTATGTAAACAGCAAACTCAGTCTGTATGCATCATCCATGTTTACAAAATACATTTCTGTTTCTATCCTACTGCATTAGATCACTGAGTTAAGACATAAAGCTCATTTCCTGTTTATGAGGGTTAAGATTATAGGCTGTATAAAATATAAAGATTAAGAAATATGCCCTTCATTGCATGTTGTCCTCCTCACCTCTTTGGCCCTGTCTCTGCTTCTGATACCGACTCTGTGATAAAATAGCAGCAAATCAAAAATGAAAGTGAACCTTTGGCCTGTCTGTCGTGTGACTCTGCCAGGAATTGTCTGATCTTGTCTGAGGGAATGGCGAAGGAGATTCCCGCTGTGACCTTCAGAGTGTTGATGCCAATCACCTCTCCATCCTGCGGGACACACACACACAAACACACACATTAATTTGCCATCATTCCTCAAATGCCCCACAGAAAAAGTCAAATTTCCTCATGGAGCTTGTTAAACAGCGTTTCTGACGCCTCATTGTCCTTCGTAGTAACATTGCCAGCTGAAAACAAATCAGAGTCAACTGTGGACCACTGCTATTTGCCAAGCGTGACCTAAACTCTTTATTTTATTTTCCTAATAAGGACTTCATGAGCCTTGGTGTTTGTTTATATGAGATTACGTATCTCTGTTTCGCAACATGGATGTTGCCCAGTAATAAGAAACTGTGTTTCTGTCCCTGTTTCAAAGAGGTGATTACAATTAAATTAACTTTAATCACAGGGTGAGACAAACGACGCGTGCACTGGTTACATTCAATTTCACCACCCTATTATCATATTCAACATCTTGGTAAGACCAAAAAACAAGCACTTCTACATGTTTCTAAATGTTTTCATGGGATTTTCACTACCTGGAGTCTATGATGCAAAAAAAGGTTAAAACCACATTTTAAAGTAATTTAGTCCTTAGAAACATGCTATGTTTAATTAATCAGGTTAGAACTAATGTTAGTAGCTGGTTAAATTAGAAAATTGCATGTACTGTAGAAATGAAACCTTGAAGTAAAAGAAAACACTACTGGTAGCAGACCTGCCTGACATATGTAGTATGGAATATGTGAAAACAAATGTTTTATTGGAAACACTTAATACGTAAGGAGAACGTGACTATATAGGCTAAGGACAAATCATTTGTAAAACAACTGCCTGCATACAAGATGTGTAATGCATTTCAAACAGGGGCCCAGCTTGTGTATTGTTTCTCCACTAGCAGGTTTTCCCTCACTTACCAGATTGACTAGTGGTCCTCCGGAGTTGCCATACTGCCAGAAAACAAATAAACAAACAAAGAATGTAAATGCAAAGAAAATAGTACATTTCTATTGAATAATCACATCAATTTTGAGCAAATAATTCCTGAATGGATCCTGTCATGTTCAGTTTTTCAGACGTTTGTGAGCCATATTGCTGAATCTCATCTCCACACAGTAGGCTATTGTCCCAACCTTCCCACCTCAGGGTGTGTTTGTCTTAGTCTCTTCGCTCACATTGATGATGGCGTCTGTCTGGATGTAGTCCATGTCAGAGTTGCGGAGGCCCAGCTCCTTGCCTCCCCTCTGGGTGGTGCTGACTATGCCGGTGGTGACGGTGTTCTGCAGGGAGAACGGGCTTCCTATGGCGACCACGAATTCGCCAGGACGCAGGTCCGCCGACCGGCCGAGCAGCAAAACCGGCAGCTTCATCTGCTCCGAACACATGGCAGGGAAACAGAGAAGGAACATGATCATGAAGAAAGGATGCAGTTCGAGACACAACCACCGCATTATATGTGTTGTTGTCTTCAAATGTTGTTCGAGGTAGTGGCCAAAATGGAAAAGACTGTATTAAACATCCTCCAAACTCTTTAAATGCTGAATATCATGTTGTGTTTTTCATCTAAATTTGGTGGAAAAGACAGAATCAAAGGAACACAGACGATGAACCAAATTGAAGGAACACCAGCACAGTCACTGGACAGTTGCCAGAACACACACACACACACACACACACACACACACACACACACACACACACGAGTAAACAGCAGTTTATTCTCTCTATGCTGTTGGAGGCAGACGTGGATTTCCTGTGGAGAGCTGAGTCAGCTCGCAGCCTGGACGAAGCTTCTCTCCATCCACAACCCAAACTCTAAACTGTAAAACATCATCAGTGACGGCTCATTTCAGCCCTGCAGGTTGTGTGTGTCCTCCAAAATCACATGTGGTTCACCTGGTTCATTCCTTACAAGTGTTTTCACTAAAAACAAAATAAGTAGGATGTTACACAGTGTAAATTGTTTAATGCTTATAAACCCACTTAAATAACTTGAGGTCTGAACTGTAAGCCAGTAAAATCTGACTGGGGTTTTCTTTGTCAGATGAACTTTGAAAAACGCCATATATACATCATCATACATCATCATATAACCATTACTAAACATGGCTGAAAGGCAACTTGTTATTCTCAGAAGTTTCAGACCTCTTCCTCAGTAAGATTATTGAAAAAGTCAGAAATGAGAAGTGGCTAAAACATGCTAGCTTTGGTTGTTTAAAATTAAAGTCCTGGTTAATTTGGGGACAACTGTGGTTACTGGCAGCACATTTTAATGATCATCTGTTCATAATGTCACGTGTATCGACCGCTGGGGCAGCAAACTCGCGCTGAGTAGCTACTCTATCAGACACACAACCAAAGAAGATCAACCAACCAGAGAATTTAGACCTCAGCCAAACAAATTGGGCTGTGATGATTCATTGTCTCACACTGTTCTTAATAAGGAAGACTAAAGAAAACAGTCAACAGTGTCATCTGACATTATTTCCCGTGAAAGTCCTGAATTTTTCAGACAAAACTACTATATAGAGACGCAGTCATAGAATACAAATACATTGATTAAAAATACCGACCACAATTAGTATCAAAATTTGATTTGATCAAATGCAAATCTCACAACTATAACTTTAAACGCAGGCGGTCGGGGACTCGACCATGAAAAGCACTGTCCCTGTGTGGAGTCTGAGACCTTTGTTACATGTCATTCCTCATCTCTCTCCTCCTCCTCATTTTCTGTCATTTCACTCATAGCCACACAGAAATCCTTCCAAGAAACATTTTAATAAAAGCAGGATGCTGTCCATTTTCTATTCCCAATTTTAGTTTTCTCATATTTTTCCATCATATCAACCGGTTCTTACCACCATGTGGTCAGTTGGCAGTTTTCCACAGTTTTATGCTGCCCTGGCTGTTGCTTTAGCTGCTTTCTGCCAGCCTGTCTACATGTAAATGTGTAAAAAAGACTAACATATGTTGCCAAAGAAATTAATCACACCCATGTCATTACAGCAAGAGTGTGATGTGATTTTGATGTACGAACAAATTGCTAAGATGTGAAGAGAGATCCAGAACAAGTCTAGCTGGATCAGTTTGTGAACAGATTTTTATTCGTACTGTTGTTTGTGTGGCAGCAGCTCTCAGCTCTGCCTGCATCTCTGACTAACTAGCTCGCAATTTTCTGCTTTTCCATCCCCTTCAATGCAGTTTCCAGTCCTGTCATATAAAAGATGCGTGTGCCTGATCGCTATTGCAAACACACTCACACACAGTTTATTTTGCTATTAAATGTGAAGCCCAGTTAAGACTTTTGTTTGTAATAACCTATTAAAATAGACTGTAATAGAATTACAGTGTCACTAATGTACACTAACCTCTCTCTCTCCACTTTATTAAACCAGGAAACACTCAAGAGTGCAGAGTGCCACTTCTTTCAGCCAAACCCTAGTCAAAATGATTTTTCATTAATTTAATTAAGTAACTGTTTTGGTTAGATATTTTTTGTATTTCTGTTTTACTGCTTAGTCAGGAATGTTTGATGTTAAAGTGTTAAGTTTACTGTTACAGAGAAATACATGAACTGAAGTCAAATTTTCAGGGACTTTTATATTTTTTAAACACTGAAATGAAGAAAAATGGTCAGATTATCAAATATGATTTGTAAAACTGAAAAAAGTTTTACAAATCACATTTATTGAAAAAGATTTTATCATAATAGTTTTGAATGTTGGATGTTTAGTGATCCGAAGTTTGGCATCAAGTATTTGTCCCGTTCTGACCATAAAGAAAAGTTTAACCACATAATCAACCATCTGGTTTCTTCACCTTTCACTCAGGAGCAAAAACCAGCTTTTAAACTTTGTTCTCTTCTGCTTCTGACCGATTGGCCCCAACATACACCCAGACACCCCAGTAAGATGTCTAGTTTCTTAAAATAACACTTAGTTTCTACTGTACTAGTGTGTGCGATTACATGGGTTCTGTCAACAGTTCAGACTCTCACTTATAAATGTGGTCTAAGGGGGAAAAGCTCTTCGCAGTCCAAGTCTAGCTCTTTTAACAAATCCATGATCTTAAGGCACTCGGGCTCCAGCCCTCAGCCATGGTGTTTGCAGACTGGCCGACCTTCTGTGAACTGTGTGCTGGCCTGCTGCACGTCGTCCTACTAACCTACTTCAGCCCCAGATGTGAAGTGGAGCAGAAAAACTGAGACATAAAGCAGCCGTGATGTTAAAACCCAGCTTTCATCAACTCTCCGCCGACCATGACAAGCGTCTGTTTGTCTGTCAACGTGTGCGTGTGTGCATCTTGTTTCCTCGGTGATGAAAGACACATCTGTTGCCCATTTCCTCAGTTAAGTAACAAGCCTGAAGACTCTGACCCACTTTTAGTAGGGTTGAATAAGCAAGAGAGAGAGAGGGGTAGAAACATAAGTGTCAAGAGAGAAAGGCAGAACAAGGTTAGAAGGGGAGTAAGGAAGGAGTGAATGGCACATGAAGTGAAGCAGAGAAAGAGGCACCGCGGAGAGAAACACACAAAGAGGCAGATGTGAAAGATGTGAATGTGTTTTACATCGCAGGGCAGCTGTGATGTGAAGAAGACATTTTCAGACCAATCTGTCTCTCTGTCTCTACGTTTGATTGACATGCAGAAAAAGCACGTCTAAAGACCACAGGTATGCTCAACATATATGAACAACACCTGTGAAGTTGTGCATTAGTGTGTGTGTGTGTGTGTGTGTTCATTGCAGCCTCATTGAATCTCGCTCATGTGCTTTCTTCACTGTTTTGTTAACACTTCCACATGCAGAACAATGAAATAGGGTTAGAAAAGTTCAATAAAGTTCAATATATGAACTTCCCCTAAGACGATCATTAATAAAATGTACACTTTTTACACAAAAAGCTGGAATGTTCATGTTACTTAACTTAATGACAAATGACATGAAGCTCTTTACAGGAGACTACTGGAAAAATCTGGTTAGTTAATTATGAATACATTTTTTTGTGTTATTGTTATAATTTATTTAACTCTTGTTGGGCAGCTGTAGCTCAGAGGCAGTTTTTGCTCAAATAAACCACCGGCTTGCTTGCAAGTCAAGGAACTTGAAAACAAAGTTTAAAAATTAGCTCACAGATAGATTGATAGAATACTTATATAATGAATCCCAATGAGGTCAATCCCCACCGCACCATCCCGTACATGCACACAAACTAACTGCCTCCTAAATCACCATCAAGCATATACAGACATAAACAAGGTGGCTTTGAAGCTCCTCTGTTCACCTGTACTGAACCACAACCACAAGTGAAGTCATCTGAAGACACCGTCTAACACACAGCATGCTGAGCTCCGCCCACCAGGAAAATGACCATGTTTCTCGCTCTGTGGTTTTCAGGATGACAGCACTTTGTCCAGGATGAGATTACAAAGCTGAGGGGCAGAGTTCCATAGTAATTTCAGAGTTTGCAGTCTTTGGCTGCAACAAAGCAGCCAAAGACCACAACAAGGGACAGAGCAGTAGTTTTGATCATTCCTCCTGTCGTCTTCTCTCATCGTTCTCTCTCTCTGCTTCATCTGCCTTCATTCTGTTTATCATTTCTTAAATGTAGTGAAAAAAGATTTGAGGGTTTTCCATCATGCATAAAAAAGTACAGTTAGCATGTTACAGGGTCAGTTAATCCAAATCACCAACTCACTTTACTGTGTCAGCAATGTCTTTAACTTGTTTCCAGATACATAGGGAGCTATTTTCTGGGGAAAAGATCCAACAAACCCACAGTACTACCTGCTCAACCCCAAACAGGCAGTGAATAAATTGGAGCATTTAGCAGCTAACGGGCTAGATATTTCGGTGGATAGTTGGTGGTTAAAATTCATTATTTTTGTGTATTTTTCCACATTTGTTTCATGATAATTTTATTTCATTTAATCCAGAATCTGAGAGCAGAAACTTACACGCTGTCCTTGCATTGATTGTGCCAAACCCCACCTGATTAGCGATAGGCCTCTTTCACCGCAGACACTTTGAAAGGAAAGCACAGGTGTTAATCACACAATTATGACTGAATTCCATTTGTTATCAGTATTAGGGTCCTGGTATACTGAATGCTGTCACACTGTCCTGGCTTACTGGTACACTTGAATAGAACGGAGCCATTGTTAATGTTATTAGTAACACCTGTGCTTTTCCTACGATGACAGGTCAAAATGTCCGCTGTGAAAAAGGTGTATTGTACAGATCCAATGTATCAATATACTGACACTTGATGGAGCTGCAAAATGTTCCTCTCTTTCTTGCTTCTTTCACCCTGCAGAACCAGAGCAGTGATATGATAACTCTCTGAGAATTTGCAGAAGGGATAAAAGCTGGGAATTAAAAAATAAAAACAGCACAGACAATGTACTCTCTGTGCAAACTATTACTCACAGCAAACTACAATTATTAACAAACACTTAAGATGATCTCTCTCTCTCTTTGAAAGACCATAATTGCTGCATCTCTCCAGCTGATTTTATGCAGCCTACTTCAAGCAGCAGTAGTTCTACCAGTATGGATCAGATTCTGCCGTTGGCCTTCAGATGTCCTAGCCTGTTCAATCCTATGAGCTGATCAGATCAGCTGGGAGCAGTTTCCATAAGCTGCTCATGGATACGTGTCATGGAAAATGATCGATGCTGGCTCAACGTGGAATATGGCCGTAAGGCTTCACTGGATGAGTCAAGACTCAAAACAACACCAACGAGCTCCTGTCTGCACATGCTCAGAGGAAACCTGCCTCAGTAGCAACCGTACAGGCTAACACTGGTGTCTGAAACACACTTGTTTTATAATTTATACTAAAAAATATGATTCTGTTCAGGGGGATATAGCAAATATTCTTTAAGTCAATAAGTTGCTGTAATCAAAACATCCTTTTCAGTTTCTGTTCATTTCACTAAGCTGAAATTTTCTCAACTCTGGATTCTTCTCCATCTCACTCTGATATTTTCTGAATGGTGTCACTCTAATCTCTGTTTCTATAGCACGTTGTTTCATTGGACTGAAACAACCACTCAGAGCCCTAACTGGCTACCTGGTGCTCCTTAGCCAAAGAATAACCAATGACTGACTGTCATCTTAGCTGGTCTTAAAGACCCTGCACACCCACCCAGGTGTTTCCACACATTCTCACTCCCATCTCCTCACATATGGACGCTTGGTCATGACCCCTTGGTGTCACTTTTTAACGCCCAGGATACCCTTTAGCATCGTTCTTTGATGTTAAGGGCTCCGCGGTCAAGTTAATGACAATACATAACGTCCGGTTAGACTTTCAAAATAAAAGAATGTGTTAACGTACAACACCTACCTGTAGCGTTCAAATGTGACGCTACAGGGCTTCCCCCAGTGCGTTGAACTATGACGCTTAGGGGCTTTGCAGTGGGTTATGAAGATACAATTACCATCCTACCTACTGTCTGGCAGAGACGGCTCTGTCATAATCCTTTCACTATTTTTAATCTAAAGATGCCATGAGGACAGTTTGGGTTATGTCGAGATGACAATCATTATTCCAAGGCAACAAAAGAGAAATCAGTAGTATCTGCAGTGACACGATAAAAAATGAGAGTATGTGAGAATGAAGGCCCACTCTGTCTTTCTACTCTGCTTTCATAAAACCTCCTCTGATAGGAGCAGAAGCTTATCAGCGCATAACACGCAGCTACACGTCTGACTGCTTCATCTGCAATACTTTACTGCTGCAATTACACCTAAAAGCCGTTTAACACTGACCTGCACTTTGTACACACAGGGAGATGTGCGCTACTCAGACTGTGTAGTTTTATTGGACAGTCACCGGCATCAAAGTCATCACTTCCTTTTCGTGTGATTTATGACAATGACTTAACTGTTAGAATCATTATCTCATCCCTTTTCACAAACATTGTTTGTCAGAGAAAACAAAGACAAACGCAAACAATATTACACTAAAACTGAATGAAACTTCCCCCCAAAAGTACCAGGGACCTTTTCAGACAAGATGGAATCAGAACTACAAAAATCAGACAGTCGAGACGAACTTTCAAGTCAGAGAATATGACCCCGAGTGCAAGCTGCTGAAAATATGTGCATGTATTGGGATGGATGTGGGGGAGGGTGGGCGTTTGCGCAGAAGTACAGTTGCCTCTTGGTTTTTGTGTGCATGTAAACTGCAACCACAAGTGCTGAGCAGTTTGTGTATTTCTGCACAATTTCATCCCCTGAAGCTCCAGTTACACCCTACTGCCCGGCCCAAACATGCAGATGAAAACCATGATCGTCTCTGTCTGACATGAACTCACATCCTGCAGTGTCAGTGTCTCTGTGTGTATGTGTATCTAATTACAGAAGTTTGTTTCGAAAAGTATCTCTAAATAGTGGAGTATGAGATAATGGAAAATTCAGTTGTGAATGAACACGCTTTTTTGCCATATATGAATATCTGAAAACTGTGTTTTATCTAGACTCAACCACAGCGTTTTTACATTAAGTGAGTGCAATTATGTTTAAAAAACAGCTGTTCAACAGATGACATTTTTTTTATTCTTCGTGTTTCTGTCAAAATCAGGCCTGCCTGGATTACAATAAAGTAATTCCATTACAGCACCTCCGTTACACAAACGGAAGATACAAGAAACATCGGTTTCAATTAACATAATCATGCTTGTGGTGATGTTTCTATTCTTTTGCGTCTTTGTGTGACTCTGTGGATCCATCAACCCCCAAAAACGTGGTTACTGCTGATGGCAGTTCCAGATGGTAGATGTTTGTGGCATTAGCAGGTCTGTACCTGCCCTCCTGACGGACTGGAGGGGGTAAAGATACAGTTGAGTGTCATTCCTACTTTGACTTAAAAAATTACATTGGCATACCATGTTGTATATTTCTTGAGTTTTCTGTATTATAATGTTCAAAAATGGTGTTAAAAGTTTTATTTGTGTCACAGTAATATTGAAAAGGGTAATTTAATGTCTTTTAAAAGCTCTTAAAGTTTATCAAATCCTGTGTTTTTAATATGGTGAAAACCGAATCCAGATCAGAGTTGCATAATGCATCTAGCCTGCTTTCATAAGCACAGCTGGACTTCATTTCCCTTAATTTATTACCTGTTTTCTCTTACTCAGCCCATTTCTAGATTCACAACTTTAGCTCCAGTCACAAACAGGCTGCTTTTGAATGCTTTAGTTCTTCTGTTTGGTTGTTAAACTTGGAGGGAGTGGATTAGACAGTCTATAAAGAATGTCAAACTCCTCAAGGTACATTTTAACACAACTTGGAGAGACCACTTTGTTCTGATGGGTGAATCAGGCATTAACTTTTAAAAATTTCTAACCATAAAACTGAATATTCCGCTCTAAGTGTCTGACCTTGTGCAGGATGTTGCAGCTCTGTCTGCCCGGTGTCTGCACAGAAAGGAGACTCAAACTAAAAATGTTTTTCCATTGCACAAATTTTGTGGAAAACCTCCTTCCTGAACTGAACCCCGGCCAGTCCAGTCCAGTCATCCCTGGACCGAAACAAAGTGCTAAGAGAAAATGAAAAGACAAATTAACCCACATGCAAAAGTTCCCTCTGTATCCTGACCTCCTCCACAGATATCCACTTTCATGAGTCATGATATTATTTTGCTGAGGCGCCTCGCCTCAAATACCCTCTGAGCTAAAATTAAAACCAGGCTTTCCGTTTAGGGGGAAAATATATTTTCCAAAAAGGAATAAATACCTGATTTTGTTTTGGAAAATAAAAAAGAGGGAGGAAAAGAGAGAAGCAGAGAGGGAGAGAAAAAAACAAGTCTGTCTGAGAGGAGATTTTAAAAAGAAGAGAGGAGGCATGAAAGGACACAAAGAGAAGAAGTTTCTCGAGAGCTGCATCTTAAAACAGAACCACCCAGAGAGAAAGAAGGCCTTATTTTTCCGTCTTGATTAAGATGCTTCAGTGTTGTCTCAGATTTTTGGATGACACATGAATGAGCAGATAAATTATATCGTACACAAGTATGATTTATCATTCCCACTGACTTTAAAATAATTTCCCCACAGCTACAAAACCATCTGCGGACTTTAAAGAAGCAAAGATAATGTTACGGGGAAATGTGGTGTGACCACAGGACTTCAGCATTATAGAAGGAGAGGTTGAGACCGTAATACAGATTTCAAAATTTCAAGGTAATTTGGTGGTCAGATTGAAGGGAAGACAAAAATAAGAGTACGGACAAGAGCCATCTCATCCATTCATCTCTCCATCCCTCTCTCGCTGCTCACCGGTGCATCGATCTTGATCAGAGCGATGTCGGCCTTCTCATCCACGTCTTTGATCTTGGCGTCGAATGTGGCTCCGCTCTTCAGCTCCACCTTGAGGAAACAAAATCATAAAGTGGGCATAACAATAAATTACAATAATTAACCAACACAAGTTATTACAAAAACATTATGTGAGTATGTTTCCGCAACACTATCTCTACATCCCTGCACCCGCTTTGCGTACCTTTACTCGTTGCTTGTTAGCCACCACGTGGGCGTTGGTGACAATGAGTCCGTCCTCTGACACAACAAACCCTGAGCCGCTGGCTACTGCCACCTCCCGCTTAGAAAATATCATCCTGAGCAGAAAGAGGAGGAGACGGGAACCTCAAACAACAACAAGAGGACACCAGTCCAGCTCAATCACATACATTGATGTTCACAAAAAAAGTACTTTCTTTCATTTAACTACGGGTGTACTTTAATAGGTTTAACTAAGAGGTACCAAGTGACTTCACTGTAAACATGGACAAACAAAGAGTACACAGCCACCATATCTCCTACCTTGCAAGCAGAACTACAGAAGTCATCAATTCTGGCAGTTACATCAAAACAAAACCCAGTCATCTGCTACAAGTATGTAACACGAATTTGAGTTCCTTAAACCCCAATACCATCACATTGGAACCTTTCAAGGAAGACTGGCAGCTTGTTTAGTTGTGCAGGTTCAGGTGGGTTTTCTTACTTGCGGTACAGTTCAATATGAACAACAGCAGGTGCGATCTTCTCCACCACGTCAGCGATGAAGTTGTACTTGTAACGAAGACTGTCAGGGTTCTGCTGACCTGAAGGGGGGAAAACACAACATCAATGAACTGCATCACACACACACACACACACACACACACACACACACACACACACACACACACACACACACACACCATAGTGGCCATAGTTGAATGGATTTTAGTCAATAGCAGCACAGTTACTGGGACTCTACAAAGTGTAGGAAGGGTTCATGTTAATCTGTTAATCAAGCAGACAACTGTCAGTCAGTGTCCTGAGTTTTATCTGAAGCATGACGACTGCATGTGGTGCAGGGTGGTGTGATTGGATCTAAACTGTAACTGCTGTGTTTAACCAAATCCAGATGTGGAGTGCAGTATATGAACAGTAGGTTCTGTCTGCTGGCTCCACTGATGCTTATAAAACAAAGGAAATGACTCAAAAGCCTCTAAAGATGTGGAGAGATGGGGGGATACTAGGATGTTTTTTGAATAAATCGTAACAGTCCATGTGTAACCGTTGCTGTCACCTTACATAACCCCAGTTTGGTTTCACTCCAGGGGTGCTGCAACATCTGTCACTGCTAAGGATCTTTCTTTTCTCATTTCACAGGTCGTTTGTAAGTCGCCCCCCCCCCACCTCCCACTCCAACCTGCTGGGACCGTGAAACACTCTCCCCCATACATCTGTGTGTTTTGGGGTCGAAAACATGTTTTCTCAAAGAGTGACATAAACGCAACACATGGGCCGAGACATTAAGACATTACGCAACATTAAACAAAGTGATGTTTGTTTACGACGGGTGTGAATATACTACAAGTTAATAGGAATACGTGGACTAACGTCTATTTTTACAGTCTTTATTTTCAGCACAAAGACTTGTTGTTTTTGATTTTGATCAACATCTAAATAAGAAACGTGTGTGCTTGTGTGACAGTGTTTTTAACATCTGGACAAGGTTAAGTATAACTACGCTTATTTATAATTATTTGTAATTATAATGATTTTTCCATTTAATCTTTCCGCCATACATCAAATGAACCATCACAATCACTATGCTTACTTCATGGACAGTTTGGAAAATGGTCAGCAGTGATTTACTTAAGTTTACTTAACTCTTACTGAAATATATCAAATCTCTCGTATGGTCTTTTAAATGCAACCTTGACTATCCATGGAAAAGAAAACATGCCAGTGTAGACATGTCTCTGTGTGGCTGCAGGTCACAGATCTGCAGGATACTCTACTGTAGCTCACTTGATTCCCTCCACATATTTTCAGCTGTCTTCAGATCTTATCACAGTCGAGCCCCTGAGCTTGTCCTCATAGTGATCACCTCATTCCACTTCATATCACTTCTTCTTCAGTCAGCGGTTAAATAGGTCATGCTGGCGGAGCCGATAAAACTTTTTTGGCTCACAAACAAACAATAGCAGCATATTATTTGATTTTTCTTTGGAAAGTCTTGTGTTTGTGTGTAGTTTTTTTGGAAGACAATACCAGATATTACTTTTAAGGCAAGGAATTTTGTCAGATTTCTTTATTTTGGTCTTCTAAATAAAAAGAAAAGTTAAATCCTGTGTAAATCTAGCTTCAACAGACGTGTCCTTTCACTGTGCTGTATTTAACCTTGATTGTACACCTTTTTTTGAGATGAGACAGAAAGGCACAAATATCTGCTTACATGATCATCATCCTCTAGTGATGGAACATTTCAACAGTTTCACCACATTCACCATTCATGTGTCCATCAGTAATAAAACTGTACACTGACGTTGCTGTGTCCGAGTAGATCATTGACAGACAGAATGAAACAGTTAAAAAAGAAAGGTTTTGATAAATCACTGAGGCAATATATTCCACTAAACAGTTAAAAACACCAGGTCCAAACAGGAAGCCAAAAAAAAATGTTCCAAAAAAGATGAAAAGAAATACAACAACTATCAATAGCTACTACACTATATAATTAAAGTTTGACTCTCTCCATTCCCTACATTACTTTAAATTTCATCAGCATACTGACTTGGTACACAGCTGACTTTTTAAAAAGTATTTCAAGAAAAAACTAAGCACATGACACAGAACTGCATTTGAAAAATTACATTAAGTGCAAACTTAAGTTTTTCCTCCATCGTTTAAAAAAAAATCTCTCTCTACATGAAAACGCAAAAACACGCTATCAAGTGCTGTCAAGAGCACTCCAAACCGCCAGGTGGCAATACGGGCCTAACCGTAAAGCCATATTGGCCCATCAGAGCCTAATAAAATCATAAACCAAGCATGCAGTGGCGTGCTTTCTTAAAATCTTCAACCTGGCAGGAGTTTTAAAAAATGTTCGGTTTCAGTAACCTCATACTTCGTTTCTGTGTGGACGAACGGCCAAACCGCACAGACAAAGTCAGGGTTTTGGAAATAGACAGGGGCTTAGCTGACAGTTACTGCTTATGAACTCTCAATCCTGATTGGACACGTTCACTGTAACCAGTTAGCGAGATAGTTTGCCTGCTCTTTCTGTGAATATACTGCTGCACTCAGTCAAGGTCTTTAAGGTTCTCTCAATGTTTAAGCTCATAAGGCTCGAGTCCAAGTGAAACCACCGCTCATGAATGTTTGTGTCAAGTCTCTTTTCATTTTGTCAAATTAAGTCTGAAGTTGTCAAATGCTTGACTTGAGTCTGACTGGACTTGAAGTCACGTGACTCTTGTCCGGGCTGAAGTCTGACTCAAGTCTACGACTGAGGAAACGAAAGTGAGGATCTCCCCCGGTGCTGCTGTAGAGTTTGTGACTGAGCACCTGTTTGTTGTGAATGTTCGCTGCAGCTTCAGCTGCAGCAGACTGTCTGGAAGACACTGATGTGTTTGGCTGGCTGGGTGTTTGGCTGGAGGATTAGTGATGTGCCAGCTGCAGCAGCTTTGAAGTGAACTGAATGGAGCCAGTCAGACGAAAGAAAAAACATCTCAACCTCAAACACACTGTCAGTAAGAGCCCTGCATATACTGAGGTCAATTCTACACTGCCCAGTGAAAAAAGCTACAGCAGGTAGATTTGTGAGAGATCGTTGCTCAGGTGTCAGTGTACTTATGGCAACCACAAAGAGAGCTCAAAACAGTGTCTGCTCACATCACAACAAAATGTGATATTAATGGACAAGGCTGGTGATATTTCATATTTTTATTATTGTCAAAATCACAGAAAAAAGAGCCAAACCAATAATAAATACGTACTGTGTGTGTATCGCAGCTATCTCTTCTTCCTCTGAGCCTCAGAGCTCCACTGTTGTCCTAAAACTATAAAAACCCATTAGTGAGCCTCACTGCTGCGCTGGCTGACATGTTCCTTCATCACCATGAACTCACACATTGTAGTTTATTCTGACTCAGTCCCACATACACCGTCCTGCTGCGCCAAAACACTCACTAAAGCACCACTTGTGGATTCATCCACCGTTGGAAATAGTCCGCAAAAAATGCACTAGTTGAGGAATGTTTGCAAAACAAATGAAACCATGTTCTAGGGAAGTGTTTATAAAGATTTACATCTTCAATAGGGACCAATGGGCTTGGAGCCACACACAGGGTGGGGAGGTCAGCAGATATTGCAAGTTGGACAACAAGAAATTGTTCAGGGATTTTATTTGCAGCAAGGTTTCTCTCTGCATTTCTCAGACATGAACTCAAATCAATCTAGAAACGGATGGTTCATTTTGTAAAATGATCAGCAGTGTTGCACAAAACTGGTAGTAATTTTAGTTTTTTAAACAAAAACTTGTCTCCTGAATGCAGCACGAACATGCTTTCCCCAAATATTAAATTATACCATGTTCTGCACTTTCTGTGGATTCTCATTAAGAGCTGGATGAGCCTGAACTGGGAAAGATTCCACCAGTTCCTGAAAGAGTTGAGTCACCGTGCAACCGTGTTTTGTTGACGCTGTATCCACGCCTGTCAATCTGACAAAAGCTCGCAAGTCTGCACAGGAAGCAGGAAAAAGAAAAGAAAAATGACAAAAGGAAAAACATTTTCATCCCTTCAAATCTGGGTTAAATAACCGTTTGACCCAGATCTGTGTCTGTTTAGTAAGTTACACAATCAACCAATCAGCTCCAAGAGATGAATCATTATAGAAGGCTTACAGTAACATGGTGTGTGTGTAACTGACACCTTCCAGATTTCTTTTCTCAGCTCCTCAGAGACAAGTGACGTACAAACATGTGTCCCTCTTGATTGAGCACATTAAAGATGGAGGAGAGGACATCAGGAGAGAGGAGAGGAAGGAAGTTAAGGGGAGGAGAGAAAGTGAAGGAGCATGAGATGCGGAAGGAAAGGAGATCAGATGGACATACAGAAAGAGAAAGTGCCTCAAAAGGATAAAGATAAAAATTACAGATGCAAGGAGAGAGGAGGAGAAGGGAAGTGGATGAGATGAGTGGAGTTAGATAACTCACTATTCTTTCCCTCCCTCTTGGATCAACAGATCAAAGATGGGAGGAGAAACATCATGCATGAGGAGAATAGAAAGAGAGAAATCACATGTGGAAGGAAGGAAGAGGAGAAGAATGGAGAGGAGGTAAAGTGCGGCAAGATGAGGAAGAAAATGAGGAAAGAAAAGGGCAGAGGAGAAGAAATCTCATCTTAATCTTTCCTTTCCTGGAGAGATTACAGATGGAAGGGCAAAAGAGGATGTGGAGGGAGGAGAAGAAAGACGATGGCGAGCACGAGGGGGGAACAAAGAAAAGGGAGGATAAGATGGGTGGAGAACTAAGATGAGGAGACGAAGAAAGACGTTGACCTGGCTGTCAACTCCACTTAGATTCCGAGCTAAACTGCACTGAGCAAATTGGTGTGTTTACAGCTGCAGCTTCACAAAGTGTGTGTGTGTGTTCCTTAATTTGCTTTCATTACTTTCCCTCTCTCTCTCTCTCTCTCTCTCTCACACACACACACACACACACACACACACACACACACACACACACACACACTCACATGGGAACACTGTTTGTTTTTGCAGCACAGGCACTCAGGACATCCTGGCCTTACTGCAAGACATTATGTCCCTGTTAAGACAATCTTAAAAGAGAAAGAGAGACAGAGAGCGAGAAAGAGGGAGGCTTCGAGGTGGAAAACAACCCCATTTTTAGAGTTTGGTGCAGTGCAAGGTAACACTGCAAATCTGACTGATCAGCAAATGGAAAGATGCCAGAGAGACAGAGGGAGAGTGTGAGCAAGGTTAATAAGAGCAGCTTCTAATGTCATGAATGTCAGATACGGTTACATCGATGCTGTAACTTGTCACAATATTAAAACATCCTCTTGCATGGGTGATGTGTGGTCATCTGATTTAAATTCTGCTGTCATTGCATTAAAGCAAGACATGTTATCTTTACCGAACAGCGGTCACTGTGGGCTGACAACTACATGATAATGGTAAATGCTTGAATGCACAAACAGACAGACATGGAAATATCCATCTAAAGTTAAAGCTAAAATTATCAGCTGGCCAAACCAGACTGAGTAAATCTGTAGCAACATAACCCCTGAGTGTATGAAAGGAAAAGCCTGTGTTCACTTTCTTAGTTAGCCGTTAGTTTTACTTGAACTCATTTAAAATGGAATATCTTAGAGTTTTGGAGTCCTGGTCAGACAAAACAAGACATTTGAAGATTTCTCCTTGGACTTTCTGTACTTAATGTTGCAATTAAGCCCATTTGAAAATGCATTTTTTGGAAGATTTGAGGAGGAGTGAGTGCATAGACCTTAACAGATGGAGGAGGAGGAGATTCATTCTGTGTGTGGACTGCTGCTGAGGTCATCCAAGTTCAGATCCAAAACACACACACACAAACACACATTACTGAAATATTTCTGTCTTATCACACTTCAGGCTGTGTGAGAGCAGTTAGGCATACAGCTATTTCCAGAGTTTAGTTCTCTCTTTTCCTGTTCATTTCTTAAGATACAATCTGTCTCTCTCTCTCTCTCACTCACTCACACACACACACACACACACACACACACAGCTCTCACCTTTCCCACAGGCGCCTCTCTGGATGAAAATCACCGGCGGCTGCTGCAGTTTCATCGCCCGGTTGCTGACGCGCTTCAGCTCGCAGATGTTCCGGTACGAGACGCCGTCGCTGCCGCACACGGGCTCGGTGCTGGTGCACGCGCACACACCGGCCTTGCCCCTCCGCCTGACTGTGGCGGACACCTCCACGCCGTCGGTCACAACACACTCCATCCCCTCGGCGCACTCGTGGTCTCCGGTGCCGCCGCACTGCTCGCCCTCGCCGGACGCGCACACCGGGCAGCAGTCGCAGCGGTCCAGCACGTCCCCGGCCAAGCAGTCAGCGGGGATCGGCGCGCACTGCGACTTGTCGCACTTCTCCGGGCAGCCGATGGCGAAGCGTCTGGTTATCCGCGCCTCAGCGACCAGATATGGGCAAATGAGCGGGGCCATTACGCAAAGGATAATCTGGAGACGCATGATGACACCCCAAAAGAAACTAGAAAATAAACTATGAACTGGACTTTGAAATCGATATGAAATGCTAGTAGTTTAAAAGATTTCAAGAGTGCTCTTGGGTAGTGTGGAGGTCACGACACCGTTACCGGCGGCACAAACGGATAAAGTGTGGCGCTACTGTCTCCGGTTGTCTCGGTTTATAAAAGCTGCAGGATAAACACAGCGGGCGATTGGTGGGCGTGTGTGACGTCTGTCAGAGGGAAGGAGGGGATGATGGGGTGGTGGAGGTGTGTGTGCTGTATGTGATTAAAGTTGTGCATGGTGGAAAGTAACTGTGTAAGAAACTACTTGCAAATACTAGGCCTATAGCCTACCTGAAAATAACTTCGATGTAGTTTTACTTGAGTATTTAGATTGCAGGATGCATTTTTATCAACTATGTCCAAATCAGATTATCTGCAACATCTATGGATTAAACTATTAAACAGGATGAAGTAGTTAAAATTAGCTCAAGCCTCAACAATAAATGCTTCTTACATGTTAAGAATTGATAAATAGTAATCCCAGTTCTTTCACTTTGGATCCTTTAAGCACATTTTACTGATAATACGTATATGGTTTGAATGCAGGACTCTTACTTGCAATGGAGTATTTGTTTGTGTGGTCTTTTTATTGTTGTATTGTATTGATTAAGTAAAAGATCTGCACACTTATTCCGCTCCTAATACAGGGGGAAAGAATTGAATATTTCATATATCAGTTATTAGTCAGTTATTAGGTGTGGTCACCCTCCTTTACAGTGAAAAGTACAGAGTTTCATTAATTAAACCTTCAATTTATTAAAGGATTTATTCTCCTGCTCCTCTGTCCTTCAGTCTAACTGTATTTTGTAATCAAATACTCTGCAGTGCTGCTGGGTGCATTCCCAATGACCTCCAGCGAGTGCTGATGTACAATGATTGATTTTTCCAATAAAAGTCACAATCCAATATAGTGATTGAAAAGTTAAGCTTGGTTTTAGGACTTGTCTGCTTTGAACACTCGTAGTTCAAAGCAGACAAGCAGACCAGGGTTGCAGCACATTTTCTATCGCATGATTGTTCTTGGGCCCAAAAAGAACATTAGCAACCGCTGCCTATCCAAGCATGTTCTTGTGCGCATGCTTGAACTCATGAGCGAGCCAAAACGGAGACAGCTTCACACATGCTGGATCTGTAAACTCCCGCTGCAATGTTACAGTAATATTTTTATCAGCTTGATGTTGAGCTAATCCATGCTCTTTGAATGATACTGTTAGAGTGACTGCATTAAGCCAACGTAATATGTCAGGTAGTGAGCTAGACTGAACATTATAAATGAGATTGTTGCCACACTTCAGTATGAAAGTTGGACCGCAGTAACTACTTTACTGTAGTGAATGGGTCTTCCTCTGTGTTGTTATCCTCTGCCATTAATTGCTGTATTGTATATTATTTGGGTCACGTAAGTTCCAGTGAATGAGAGGTAGAAAAGCTGTGTACCTGAATATCGGTAAAACAACAATAAATCTAAATTGAACGTTAAGGAAGGACTCTGCATGAGATAATAACAAATCACACACAATCTAGCATCCATATTTAAGCATTAGCATTAAACCAATCATCCAGGATATTATATGAGAATATTACAGCTAAAAACAAATCGCTCCACATTTACTTTGTACCGTTACATAATTTCTTGCAGACTAAAATCTAAATTTTGACATATTAACTGTGGTACACAGGAGAGTAACATGGGTCGTATTAGCTGATAGAGTAATGTGGAAAGCCATATAAGTATTTTGCACCAGATAACAACTCAAGCCTTTCTGATGTTAACCGTGTTTTTGTTTGGCCTGAAGGGCTTCAGCACATAAAACCTTTTTGTTGTTTTTAATCCTTCTGATAAGTTTTTGTTGGAGTCAGTGTTGTGCTGGTAGCTGGTTGTTTTATGGTGTTAGTGCACTCCATGTCGTTAGCTGCAGTGTTGTTGCTGTGTGAACGTCATAGCCTATTTGATCAATGGACTCCAAATCTGAACGATTTCTTCACATAGAAAGAGGCATGCTGGCCGTCACAGGCAACCGAAAGGGCCGGTGAATGACTCATTTGAATGTGAGGTCACAACCCCTTAACACACACAGACAAAAAAATTTTGATTAATTTTTATTCAAAAACTACATATAGCCCCTTTAATCCATGCGTTAATTCCATAGTAAGTCAGCTTTTGTCCTCCGTACTTTTTGCAACAAACGCCCACTGTCAGACCGTTCTGTTTTCACTCAGCTCGCTTGTTCAAGTTTGGTAGGGAAGTATTTATACATAATTAATTAACAATCAGATCCACAATTGTCCATTCATGCTGTGTGATATGACTGTAAGGCCTCTGCTGGGTTCATTTCCTTCCTGTCCGGCTCAACTCATCACAGAGCTGCTGCTGTTATGTTTGTATCAGAAGGCTCCAGCGACTGCTGAGTTTTTAAAGTTATTGCAGAAGGAAGCCAAGAAAACCCACCCAGAGTTTGGTCCCTGAAGGGTGTGTGTGTGTTCCAGTGTGTGTTTGTGTGGTTCTAGAATAAATGTGGTGAATTCGTGTTCTTTCATTATTTAGTTTCAAAACCAAATCGGAAAAACAAAAAAATTTGTTTTTTGTTTTTTCCATTTTAAAACCAAAATAGAAAAACAGACAAATAGAAACTCCTTTACGATTAGTGTAGCTTTGTGTGTTACACTTAATAAACCTGCAGCAGATACACTTGGGCGAGGGTGGTGCCTGATTAAACGTTATTAAGATGAGCTTCAACATCAACATAGGTGGGTTTTTATTTAGAAAAACAGGAGGCTCACCGTTTGTGACTCACTAGCAACTGGGACAGGAACAGAAACGCCTCAGAATTTGCCTAAGAATCCTCCGTTTTTTAAGATTTTTTCAGTATCAAATTAATTCAGTGATCGTTATGAGTACATCCAATGGTACACAGCAAACATGAACTGTTATTAGTTAATTCGGCGAGATGTATATTAACGAATCATACACGGATTAAAAGGTTCGGGTAATTTTCGTTCAGCCTCTCTACACCGTTTCCACCTGACCATAATTTTCTTCGTGAGATGTAAGAATTTAGAAAGTTTTGCGGCGCTGTGGAGAGCCTCCAGCTGCAGTTGGCGCATGGATTAGGCAATGCGTAAAACAGGAGCATCGAACTTCATCCAGCCAGGGGGAACGAACACTGACTGTCCAGTTCGCCGGTTCCACTGGCAACACAACGCATATTAGGTCTACCGGTTAGGGAGCAGGGCGCTGGGGTGTAGGCCACAGGGCGAGGGAGAAGAGGACAGTGATCATTCTCTGTGGTTGGATGAAGCCCGACCATAGACTGTATAGCCTGACGCAGACCACAGTTGTTGCAAACAACAGGCGCACAAGTAGGTTGTGCCCCGTCAGTAGGGATACAACAACGGTGAAAGACAAAACAAAACACAGCTCCTTTGTTTTCAGTTATGGGTTTAAAACAGAAAAACAAAACAGATGTCCATTTTTCTGTTTTGGTTTTAAAACAGGTTTAAAAACCAATAAACCAAGTGGTTTTTTGTTTTTTCCAATTTGGTTTTGAAACAAAATAATGAAAGAACGAACCATACATGGATTGTGGTGACATACATCTGAATGACAAAGGATGAGAGAGTCAGAGTGAAAGTAAAAGCCATTGTTCATACCAACAAAATCAACTTCAAACAGTTTGTGTTCTCAGTCTTTATGAATGTTTTTCATGCTTGTGTGTGTTATGCACCCATGTTAATGTCTGTACATGTTAATGATGAATCCTCCATGCACACCAAAGTTAGTCACGGAGCTCCACAAGGATCTGTGCTTGGACCAATCCTATTAACCTTATATTTGCTTCGTTTAGACAATATTATCAGGAAAAACTCCATAAACCTTAATTTTTATGCCGATGATACTCAATTATATCTATCAATCAAGACAGATGAAACTAATCAGTTTACTCCACATGTGCCTTCAGGATGTAAAAGGTCAGGTACCATCTTATCTTAAAGAGCTCATAGTACCTTACTACCCCACCAGAGCACTGCGCTCCCAGAATGCAGGGTTACTTGTGGTTCCTAGAGTCTCCAAAAGTAGACTAGGAGCCAGAGCGTTCAGCTATCAAACTCCTCTCCTGTGGAACCAAGTTCCAGTTTGGGTTCAGGAGGCAGACACCATCTCCACATTTAAGAGTAGGCTTAAGACTTTCCTCTTTGATAAATCTTATAGTTAGGGCTGGCTCAGGTGAGTCCTGAACCATCCCTTAGTTATGCTGCTATAGGCCTAGACTGCCGGGGGACTTCCCATGATGCACTGAGCTCCTCTCTCCTCCTCATTCTCTCCATCTTTATGCAACCTCATCCCATTAATGCATGTTACTAACTAGACTTCTTCCCTTTCCTGTAGTCTTGTTCTTTCATGTCCCTCTCCTCTCTCCTCCTATCACTTCCTGCAGGTGTTTCTCACTCTGGAGTCTGGATCTGTGGCTGCGAGTCACCTGCTCACCTACACAACATCCACTACTATAATTATTACTAGTTCTATTATTATCATTAATATTACTATAATTATCAGTACCATTATTTGTTTCTGTACCAACACTACTTTAACTGTTTGTATTTTCTGTGTGGACATTGTGGACATCAAATGGACACAGATCCCATCCCAAACGATGCTCTGACATGGAGTCCTCCAGGCAATATGGCCCGAAGCAGAACTGTGATGGAGAAGGTATTAAGATTAATTTAACTTGAGGGGTGGCTCAACATGTTACCAAGGATTGCGGATGATGAGGGAACTCATTGTGTCCTTTTGTCCTACAGGGAATGAAGTGGATTAAATAAATAGTTTCACATTTAGGGAAATGGGCTTATTTGCTTTTTGGTAAAGAGTTAGATGAGAAGATTAATACCACACTCAGCCAGCAGCCAGTTAGCTTAGCTTAGCTCAAAGACTCAAAACTTCGGTATGGCTTGATGTAAGGAGCAGCTTGGCCTCTTTGATCACTCTGAACCCTCAGGGCCACTCAGCTACTCCTCCTGCAGCCCATCAGTCTGAGAGAAGACGTGATGCAGAGGGGATTTTCATCCATCTTTCTGTCTCTCTGTTTGTATGTGTTGCCGTCGCCACCCTCAT